TATATATATATATAACTCAGGCGTTACGATATCATAAACTTTCACTCTGTAGTCTTTGTAGGATATTGATCTTTGTTGTTATCGTCGTCTATACCGATCCCTCGTTTTATCTGATACAATCGTATAATAATTAAATATTTTAAAACACTAATTACGATCCGAACATATGTTTGCTATAATTTTATTTTATATGATACCTACACTCAACGGTGCGTTGGCAATTTTCGATTCATATTTTATATTTACTTCAACAGGTGTCGATGCTTAAGAACGGTTCGGCCATCACTTTCCACAAAAAAGTGTGTCCCGACTGCCACACAGTGCCCAAGTTCAAGGAATGGGCCAGCGCCAAACCCAAGCCTGGAATCAGCGTGTTCCACACGGGAAAGCGGACTGGATACCATCTGCACTGGGAGCCGATATTCATCGGTACACACAACGATCCGTTGTACGACGAGAGACTGAGCTGGGAGGGTAAAATGGACAAAATGACCCAGGTATGTGAACGTGGATATAGATTGTTATGACCGACAATATATTAAAATTAATGATTATTTTAATTTATATAATAATAAGTTGGGTTTGTACATGTCAATGTGTATTTTTCTTTATTTACTTGGAATAATTGTTCTGATTAAATAGATATGTCGAAGTTTTGAAATAGGTACAATTGGTACATATTTATTYGGTAGTTAAATTGTTTTTTATATATTCAATAGTTAACATTAATATACGTTACGTACCTATTGTAATACTTATAGATAGTTTCATATTTTATAATCAAGATAAATTTATAATTTTCAGAATATTTTATTGGTGTCAAAATYCATACTAAATTAATGTATTACTTGGTAATTATTGTTATTAATTCAATTAATTCAATCGTTTTACAGAAATTCGATAAAAATTACTAAAAATTAAAAATATACCTTTCGATTGTTACAATTTACACTTACTATATTTTTAAGAAATTTACGCTGTTTTCCAAGTGTTTGTATGCACCTTTACCTATACAAGTATAAACACATTATCATATCATTATGCATATTATATTGGTATACCTTTAGTATATATTGACGGGTTTATTGGTCCCGTTGGATGTCTTCACGAAAATCAAAACAATAATCGATYATCGTGCCTTAACAATATTAAGAATAATAATAATAACACAATTTARRTATGCTAATTCCCTATCGTAAAAATATTATTATATCCAATAATAATTTAATATACACGATGAATGCCCTCGGGATCATCGCGATCGTAATATTCCAGCCTCGCTCCGAGTAACACGTGTAATTTATTCGTGTGATAAACCTTTCCTTCTACACATGATTGTTCACATTAAATTTATGAATCGTACATAATATCTAATTTTCTATTCATGTATTAAACGTTTATATTAATATCATTTCATAATTTTGCTATCCCCGATAAAATGTAGTTGCATAATACACGAAATAAGAGCAACAGCAAAATAACGTTTGATGAGCAAAAAAAAAAAATAACTTTATTCTGTCAAGTGGCACACGACAATTTTCAAACTGAGGTGTGCACGCGGATCATTAAAGGTGGTGTCGATGATCCGATGCATAATCGCTGATTACGGTGGGGGGGGGAGTGAGGTGGTATTAATCGTGACGATTGTGACATAAACGATTATAGAACGTAAAGTGCGATCGCCGTGTCTCGGTGCCCACACCATACTCATTGTTTCGTTTTTTGTGCACAGGGTTATACGCTGTGCGTGCTCGACTACGAGTTCCACATACTGGACAACGCTTTCCTGACACACAAGCCGGGCATCAAGACGCTGAAAAAGGACCCGGCCCGACAGGTGCTCGCGTCCAAGACGTACAGTCTCATCAAGAAAGTCATACTCCCCGAGCTCAAGGTCCTGTACGGCGTGAAAAAAGGATGCGCCGTGTAGTGTATGACGATACACACATATATGCATATTGTATATATATATATACACACMCACACACATCTATTATATAGGGATGCACGGTCGCGCCGAGGACACTCGCGCGCGTTAGGGACCACRGGTCAGTGAAATGTCCAACCGGACTTGCAATAGCTTTTATTTACACACTATTATAKTATAGTATTATATTTCTAAAGATTATTTTATATTATATAGTGTAATATAATTTATGAACAAATTKATTTTTTTTTTTT